TGTGTAAACCCAGAAGACAGTGTGTCTATTGACCCTCTTGCTGTTTCTGGAATGTGTCTTAGAAAATTGTTCTCAGCAAAATATCCTTCATTCTTTTCTGTATTGCAGACCAAAATGGCAGAGAGTATACTTGGTTTTTAAAAATTTCTCCTACACTTAATTACCAGTTGCCTTTCATACTGAACTGGATTTTGGGGGGAGAAGAGGTATGCAAGTAACACTACACAAGGATTTATTTTTTTAATTCTCTGGGAGGCAGCACGTAATACACAGCAGCTTACTAGCATTTTCTCACACTTTCAGGATCAACAGTGCCCATCATAAAGATGCCCATATACCCTTCTGTGTTAAATTTCCCATTTCTGACCACTGGCCAAAGGCATAAAGCACTAGGATTGATTTCAGATCAGTGTATAAAGCTTTACTAGTACCGTGTGTTTGCAAGGACGATGGAGAACTTTCCTTTTCCATAATTCTTTTGTCTCATTCTGATATGCAGTGGTTACTTAAATTGGATCGTGTTGCTTCACTGTGGGACTTTTCAAGCAGGTGATGGGTAGGCTCAGACTAAATACATCTTCTTAACACAGGCTACTTCAGAGTAAAAGGCTTGCAGGGTTAACTTTCTTCTAATTTCTTATTTTAAAGGGGAAAGAAATACTTCCGTAAGTACTTAGTCATGCAAGATTTTAGAGCATCCATGTCCCACCCTGGCATCTGTCATTTAGCTTGAACCTGCCATCTCTGGACTCCTGGTAGAGTCATTTAAACATTTGGAACTAACTTTTGATGCTGTTTGAAAGTCTGGTTTTTGCAACTCAGTGGTTAGGTAGAAAACCTGCAGGAAATGTGGTTAAAAGAATCTTGAGGGAATAAAGTTTGGGTTTTTTTCCTGCTGCCTTGTAGAAGAGAGAGAAGCCATAGTGTGTGTTGCCAGTTCATATGGCTATTGAGTTTAGTGCTGTTTTTCACATAAGGTAAGTGCTCTTGAAGCCTGATTTTTTTTATGTGCTGAAGACAGCCACAGTTCTACCAATTTTTAAAACTCAATATTTTGGAAGTTATTACTGCCCTGCAGTTAGCTACTGCCCTGCATTCTCCCCCATCAGCTAGCACGACTGTCCGAAGGAAGGAAAAAAGCTTGGTTTAGATTGTGTTTAATGGCAATTCTGTATAGGTTCTGAGAGAGAAGAGGTCATATATAGCAAGACTTACCTGCTGCTGGTGTGCTTTTAACTCGTTCAGTATATCACAGCTATACTTCCTTTACCTAGAGTTTTCTTTCAGAGTTAATTATAGATACCACTCCTGGTGTGATTGTGTTTAAGTCCGATTGCCGTGGCAGTGGAAACCGGGAGTTTACCCCTATGCTTGTTGCAAGGTTAATGGTGCTGCAGCTCCTGGGCTGTCATTTGTTCTTGGGAGGGCTTTTCTTGATGGGACGTGCATTGGCATACGTGACCTTTTGCTTCTGTTGCTGCCATATGAGTTCAGAGAAGAACTGCCTTAACAGAAACCAGACTGTGCACATTTATTTGGGGGACAAAAAGCTGTTAAAAGGTACATTCGGGGGGGGGGGGAAATGTGAGCTAAATCTGCTATCTTTTGCAAATATCTGCAGAAGCACACATTTCAAAGCAAACTGCTTGTCTGCTTCTCCCTACAAACCCCTCAAATGTACATACCTTTTTCTGCTTTTTCATGATGTTGAAAGGTGACCTTATTCTTTCTTCCTTTCAAGAGGGGAGGGGATTTTTGTTGCATTACAAGTACCTAGCCTTGACATCGCTTACCATTGAGCAACCTGGCAATCTGTAGATCTGGATCATGGTTTCACATGTGGTGCTGGAAATGGGAGCTCTTGCTCAGTCATCCCTGCCCAGTTCAAGAAGAGAGCGTGTTGACTGAAAGCTGCATCACATTATCATCCTCTTATATCTGAAGTAGTGGTCTGGTTTTTCAGAGACCAATTATTCCAAAGTCTTTCCTCCTGACAATACTGTTCAGAGCAAATGTTTTAATATTAACTCTAAAAAGTCCCCAAAAATACCTTCTCTGAAGCTGTTCGCATGCACAAGTGAGCAGTAAAGAAGGCAAAAATTTATTTTCTGTAAAGCTCAACTATAAATTACTCCTGAAATAGCTCCTGTGACTCTGTGCAGCTCCAGGCCACTGCATCCATTACTCTGAATGTGAAACTTAACGTCGTCAACTGATTTTTATCATTCTGTGCTTCAGCAGAGTGCAGGAACCTAGCTATAAAGTATAATTCTGTTAATATGAGAAGTGGTGATGTTAGAGTAAGTGACATACTCAAAGTAATAAAAAAATTCTAGACTTTTTTAATATTTTTATTTTAAGATCCAAATACCTCATTGGAAAAATATTTAAACTGTTTGAAGCTTGCCAAGTGCATTAAATGGCCAGGGGAAACAAAACATCACTGGGGCTCTCATACAAAAATTCTTGGTTTTGGAACATACCCAATTTTACTTACTCATCTGCTGCCGCCTCTTATTTGGGGCCAGTTAAGATAGTTTGGGAAACTGAGTGTCTACTCCTGTATACATTTAGCTCAGAGTTACTTTGCTCATATCCGACCTATGAGCTCACTCATTAAAGCCATCAGAGTTCATTTTCATGTTTGCAGGATCTGCCTGGAAATGTGTAATAATGGATTTCTTGGTTTTCTGCTTCAACAATAGAGTCAAGGGACAAATTCCTGAGTCGTACTATTTTTAAAAAAAAATAAAATAAAAAAGAAGACAGCTGTATGAGTGGGACTGGGGCTGTTGAAGTCAGCCCAAACAATGGGTTGCTCTTGGGAAGATGAAGAGAACGGGCCTCACAAATGGATATTGATCTGTAGCAGCTGGGACTCGAGGAAGGGCTTGGGAGACGAGCGTACATCGCTCGTACAGCTGTCAGCCTTTCCATGGCTGACTTTGTTTTGCTGGTGAATTTGTGTTTGTAGTACAAGGCTATATTGTTTTCCACTCATATTTGATGTAGCTGTATATCAGCGTGTGGATGATAAAGTTTAATAAGCTATCTAGCACTTGGGCAGAAAAAAATGATTGATAACGGCTTCTTGGAATTTCACTGCAGTAGGTAAATTTTCTGAAGTCATATATGCATCCTTTACAGAGGGATTGGACAGTTAAAATCCCTGGGGAATGAGCAAAGTTGAAGATCTGTGGGGTTTTTTGTTTTGTTTTTAATTGGATATTTATTTGGTTATAGTTGCAGTCTTTTCCATTTGGTGCTACTGTTTAATCTCCTATTATGCCCTCAGTGCCCAGCATTTTCTCACTGTGCTTGAATTATTTTTGTAGAAAGAATGTGAAGGGGATCTAGGAAATTCCTACAACTGACTGCACTTGCAAAAGAAATAGCTGAATTGAGGTGAAATAAATTATTAGGTGAGATGTGCAAGCTGGGCAAGTGGGAGGGAAGCCTATTTCTTTGCAAATTGAGATTTGAAACCTTCTGGCAGAATTTGTTACCTTCCAGTTATGATTACTAAAATGTTCCATGATTTGGTATTTCATGGATTTATTGTCAGGAAACTATTGTCTGCTTGGAACAGTTTAAAGGAATAACCCCGTTCTGAACTGTTTTTCATGGGAGCCCGCTTAAAATATGCTAAAATTAATTGCTGTGCTGTTTTCCCTGAAACACCCAAAAATCCTTCAAATAATTTTTAAAGCAGTCGGTCTTTCTTTCTCCTTTCTTATAAGGGGCTGTTCTCAAATTGAGGGAGTGATTGGAACATAAGACTTTCTGGATGCTCACAGCACTGTTCCAGGGCTAGGTCGGCAGCAGAGGGTGAGGAGGCACCGTGAGCACCTGAAAAATGAGAGCAAACTCAGGATAGTTTAGATTTACAAAGCCAAATCTTGGGCTCACTCCAATCGATGGCAAAGCTCTCACTGGAGCAAGCGTTTGGTCCAGAGCTGTGGAGCAGGCTCTGCCAGGGCAGGCGGGAGCGGAGCTGCTCCGGCCAGGTGAATGCAAAGTGGGAGAGGGGGGAGCTTCAAGGAGGGGACGTGGGGCAGGGAGTGAGAGCATATGGGTGTAGGAGCTGGGTAGGAAGGGAAGAGAAGGAAGAGTGGCTGTATGAAGGCCAACAGCAAGGAAGGAAAAGGCAACTAAAATAGATGGGATAGACAGTAAGGGAATAATATTGGGCAGTGAAAGAGATAACAGAAGGCCTTGGGAAGCAGAACTGTAAGGGGAGGAATTGGAAATTATAAAAGGGTCATTCGGGGACAGATTGTTCTAGAGAAAGAAGTGAGGTTAATTGCCCAGTGCTCTGCTATGCTGGGCAGCAAAGCAAATCATCTGTGTGGGTAAAAATAGGAAGGGAGTTGTGTCTCAGCTGCTGCTCAGGTTCCCCTTTCCTTGTGCACTTCATGCCAGCGCTATTCAAGGAGGTGTAGATAAAGGACTTTGGGGAGAGCACAGTGGGGAGCACAAGTTCAGATGTTTTTTCATGATTATGTTGGCTAAGGCATGCAAAATAAGACAAAACCATTTTGGTTTTTTGTTGCTTCCATTTCCCCAAAAAATACTGCTAGCCAACAGGTAAGTAGTTCATGAGAGAAAAGCAGCTGCCATCCAACAGGGCATACGGCGGAGCAAGAAGTGTGTCCGCAAGTGTACAGAAAATGTGCATGCCTGTTAAGTGGGCTAGTAGAGGGGCAAACTTGGTTCAGTGTTTTACACACAGTGCAAACAGAGGTTGTTCATGGAATGCAAAATGGCTCATGAAAATAGCATGTTGAACACAAGAAAAGAACAGCAGCAGCAGTGTGCACACTGTGGGCTTATGTTGACATAGATGAACTGTTTCACAAAACCGAAAGCTGAAGTGTTCAGAGACCCCTATGCTAATGTTCCTGTGCTGCCTACTGGTAAGGGTAATAAGATGAGGAGTAACACAAGGCAATTTCTTGCCATGTAGTATAAATTATAAATATCTTTTGGCATTTCTTTAGGCGAGACAGCAAGCCCAGCTGCGACATCAAATGGCAGAAGACAGCAAAGCGGAATATTCTTCCACTCTACAGAAGTTCAACAGTGAGCAGCATGATCATTACTACACACACATACCAAACATCTTCCAGGTAAGGGTCACTGGCACTGACCTAGAGTAGCTCATAGTCTTGTGATAAGAACAGAGGGGAGTATTGCACGCTGCCTCAATTCTATTTTGGTGGTTTTTGTGAAATTTTAGTGATTTTTTTTTTTGTTGTTGCTGTTAGCAAACTTTACATGCAGTCTGCCAATACAAGAGATGGGCGAGCTTGCTAGGATAAATTGTCCCTTTCTCTTAGACTGGATATCAAGTGATCAATAAATATATGAGGAAGGTGACATTGAATTGTCATGACAGATTATGATAGCCTTTGGAATCCTCACAATCTTGCTCTGTTAAACTTGTGTCCCTGCAGCTGGGGAATGAGAGCATTATTTGCATTGTTGGGGCAGGAGTCAGCTGAGCATCATTACGTCTGTAAAGCCTCACAGCCCTTTATAACCTGTCTTCAAATCAAACTTCATAGATATTTAAATTTAAACCACAATAATTCTGCAGTAGTGAATGTCGGAGGGTTTAAGCAAGCTTGCTGATTATGTCTTAGGGTGCCTAAAGAAAGACTGTAGAGAAAGAACAAAAAAGTCATCAGACTTATACTGACTGAAGATCTGAGTTTGTGCTTGACCGAACAAAGAGATATTAATGTAGCAGAAGAGAAGTTATAAATGACTGTTCCATTGTAATGGGTCATAAGCACCAGAAGTGGAAAATACAACCTCTTTAAGGGAGAAAATGTCACATGCTTATCATGAGAATTAACTGATACTTGAGCAGCAAATAGGCATTTTCTTATCCATAGCTGGAACTTCTTAGATAGGTTGCTTCGTGGTATTTCAAACCAATGTCCTGAGGTAAATTAATCCCTGGCATCAGATATAAAATTCTTGCGATATATTTGTATTTACCAGACCTAGCGTTAAGCGCTCTGATTCATAGGTGAGCATGCCTAAAGTACTGCAGAAGTATCCTTTTCGCTACTAGTGCACCAGTAAGCCCTAGTGCTTTCTTTTGGATGTTGAAAAAACAAGTTGTTTTGTAAATACTTCATGTTGCTTGTGAATCAGTCAAGGCAATGGGGATTTTTAAGTTGACAATGCTCCATAAGATTCCTGCAGTCTAATGTGAAACAGGCAGTTTTTGTTCATGCCCTTCTGTATCCTGTTATAATCTGTCATAATAGCATTATGCCACATCCAGTTGCCCTCTGTTATAAACAAAAGGTCCATGGAATAGTTGCTGGAGATTTGTGATGCTGAATCCGCTGAGCAACAGGGAGGATATGTTCAGAAGCCCTGGTGCGAATAATACCTGATGTACAGGACCACCTGTAAACCAAAAATTACCTTCTGGGGGGAGAAAGGAGGACATGAAGATTTTTGTTTGCTTGGATTCTGCAGTGGAATGAAAATACCATCCTTCAGAACACGTGTAGAAAATGGAAGAATTTATTAATGCAGAAATTCTCTTAAAAGCCTTAGGAGCTGTCCTTACAGCGGTCTAAAGCCGGGGTTTTGACAAATCAGCATTTTTTAACATAAAATTTAATTGAAAAATTCCCAGTAATAGTAACGGAGATTACTTTTAGAATGGTATTTTGATGTTTGAGGGAACAATATCGCTTGGTGCCTTCATGAGAACAGCTGTCCTAGTTTATTCTTAAAAATATATTCCGACCTTAAATTTTAAAGCAGCTGGTGTATGCTGGGGAGAAAAAATTGTTTAAAATGTGAAGTTAATCTTGGTATTGATCTGAGTGAAATGTAATGTTTTAGAAAATACAAGAGATGGAAGAAAGAAGAATCGTGAGGATAGGTGAATCCATGAAAACTTTCGCAGAGGTCGACCGTCAAGTGATCCCTATCATTGGAAAGTGTCTGGATGAAATAACAAAGGCTGCAGAATCAATTGATCACAAGAATGTAAGCGTTGCATTGTTTGGATTGTTGATTGTCATCTTTAGCATTGATCACTTACAGAGACTTAAATCCTGGGTCCAGGCTGCAGCATGAGAGCTTTGGAGTCCTAGAACTAAACCAAAGAATAGCTTCTTGTCCCAAGCTACTTTGTCTGAGGCAGGCCGTGCTCAGATTATTTCCCAAATCTGCTTAACACCCATAAATGCCTCTACTGCCACACTTCTTATTTTTCAATTTTTTTTTTCCTTTTAGGAATATTCTTTCCTTTTACTAGGATAATTACTTTTTGAAGTACTGTAATTGAAAAATAGGTTTCTGCATAGAATAAGGCAGATGGTGGACATAATTCCAGATACCTAATAATCACCAATTCTTATTCAGATGGGTTCTAAATCTAATAGTCAGAAAATGGAATGTTGCAGAAGCGTCTTCATTCCGGTTTCTTTTATAATAATGAATGTATTTCAAGTATTGGCTACATAAAGTATTGCAAACAACTCTGGCAAAATTTCTACTTTACTGTAAAACCTTTCTTTGCAGTGTGGAGGTTTGCTAGCAATCTGTAAATGAGCTCTTGCAAATCTCGGTTTCTGAACATCATTGTAGGAACAAGAAGAAGCCTTCCTGATAACCAAACTCCTTATCAGCCTTTTTGAGCTTCCTGATGTACAGTTAGCACGAGGGCAAATGTGTTTTCTATTTTGTTTTCAGAATGATCTGCTCCCTTAGTAAATGAAGTCTCTGCTTGCTCTTTCAGCCCTTCTGATGGATCGCATTAGTGCTTCAAATACAAACAGCATGTGTCTTGCTGGCTGTTTGAATTTCCCATACGTCTTTTTCACTGGAATCTTTTCTAAGCTATTCAGTGCCCAGAGCCTGGAGACTGCCATTAATTGGCAGCATAAGCCTGAGGCTGAAGTTCTGAAATGAATCCACTGCTTTCTGCTTGGCAATTGCTCTCACAGAGAGCAGCATAGGAAACCAAGGAATCTGAAAATTACTCTTTCAGGGTGGGAGAAGGGGGAGTTGGGGCACAGATTCCCATATTAGAAGAACGAATGGTTCTTGAGGTACAGCTTGTGGTGCTGCATGATGAAATTGTTTTGGGGAGATTCATATCTAAGCCTAAACTCTGCTTTAATCTTCAAGTGAGGTCTTAGCAAAACACGGACACGGCTTAGGCTATGTGTTTGGATCACTGTGAATTTTATATCCAAGTTAGTTTCTCTTGCACACAGATAAGTCAGGCTGATGGCTTATGTACAAGTATGACATTAGAAAATGTTGGCTTTGAGCACTGATAACTAAGGGATCTCCTGTAAACACCATGCTAACAAAAAAGTATTTAACCAAAATTTTTTTATATCTGAACAGTTACAACGGATTTAGCGTTTTCTATCTGGAAAACAGTTATGTCCATAAAAGGTTTTTTTCCTTCTTAAATATCATCAAGGAATTTTTCCATCTCTGGAATAGTAGTTTCTAACTTTCTTGATTCTGATAAAAGCAATGTGCTCGTTCCCGCTCTTCTGCAGGATGCAGGTCCTGCTGCTTTGCAGGGGCGGCCACAGGTGAGCATCATAGCAATTTAAAAGCTGTATCTTCTCTACTTCCAGATCATGTACTACTTTTGCCACTAATGCAGAGTGTTACAGCAGACCTTTCCCATCTGACCCCTTAGTGTTCTAAGAAGCAATTTTGGGCTCTCTTAGGCTACCATCAGGAGAGTTTCTTCTTTTCCTTGAAAGATTCAAATTGAAGATTGTCTCCTTTACTCACCTTTTTCAAGCTTGAAAAGCTTTGGATAGGAAAGTCGACTAGATTTGAGCTTTGAAAATGAGGTCAGATTCCAGGAAAGTTGAATGCAAGGGCAGCTGGTGATAATACAGCTAGTACAATGGTGAGTAAAACCAAGAGCCTGCTGAGCAGGAAAGGCTTTGTGTGAAACTCTGAGCCCACAGAGACATGTGTTTCCCAGCTGGTAGGAGATCTCCAGGATCTGGTAATCATAAACAAACGTACAGTATTGTCAAACTTGGAATGTTTAAGGTCAGACACTATGACACTGACAAAAGGCAGTGATGCATTTGGAGCTCTTATTTAGCTTTTGGTATCCTTTGGTTTTATTTTCACTTTTTCTACCCAGCTATCACATACAGAGCTACTGAAGAAGGGAGGAGGGTAAATGAAAGCTGTGCTCTTTGTACAGTAGCTTCAACTCAGAAACCAGAGCTTTAAATGGAACAACCAAAACTAATATAGAAGATGAATTGGTCAGAAAGGGGGGGAAAAAAAAAATAGAGAGAAAGCACCAATTCATAGTAATTTACCCTGAGCACCAAACTGTGTGTCAACTCTAGCTGAAAGCGTGTAAGAACCTGCAAGTTCTGCAACTTGCTTTTTTTTGCTGTCAGTAAAACATTACTCGCTGATGGTAAGAAATTACTGTTGAAAAATAAAAGCAACAGAACTTTGCACTTCATGTAGGTATCTCAGAGCTGTTGGGTCATCAATTTTCAGCTTCAGGGAAATTTATTACAAACATTGTAACCACCATGATTTCTAGCATCAGAATTGTGTAGTACCATGGGAAGGAAGGATGTGGTTCCATAGTGACTTTGAAACTGTGGAAGTGCAGATTGCTAACAACAGGCTTCCTTGCCTTGACCAGCTCCGTGTTCTCTCCCTCTGGGAGTGTCAGCATGCTTATAGAAGACCAGTTTTCTTCCAGTGCCCCTATTTCGTTAGATAGCGCTAAGAACCAGAATGACATTTGGGGCAGATGTAATACTTTCTATGTTCTCTCCAGCTTAAATACTACAAGGTTCTGCCTGATGGCTACCTGCAAAATGGCCGGTCTTTTGGGCTTACTGAATTTGTAACTGCATAAATAGGATTGCTTTATGCCCTCACTGAAGTGTATGGAGTTCCCACTAATAGCAATAGAAACTGTCTGGATTTAGCTGGGAATACTGGTCAGCCCTGTGCTTCTAATGCAGTTGTAAATACGCTTGGGTTTTTTTATCTCCCCTTTCTAATAACTTGGGCAGCACAGAGGTCACACTGCAAGGGCAAGCTGTAGTGACTGCTGGGTGAACCTATGCAGAATTTGCCTCAGAAGGCTCTAGCAGCAGATAAAATTAATTTGTTATGGACTTGGGAGTTCCTGTTATGACATTATCTCTGTGATGTATGAAGCATGCTGGTTATTTTTAGTTCCATTGTAGTGGAAGAATGTTTGACTAAATGGAAGGAACACTGTAAAATTAAGAAGAAAAAATGAAAAGCTCCATGCATAGGATAAAATAGCAATAGGGTATTTAATGTAACCTTGCATATGCTTATAGTCTCTTATCTCTTCCTTCATCTTGCTTTCATGACTATTACTAAAAATAATATCTTCAAATGTTTAGATGTCAGGAAGTTTTAATGTCAAACTAGGATGAGGTAATGGAAAGTGGTGTTCTACCTCCCTAAAAGTTGTGTAGGAATTTCATAGTGCGCCTGATAGGTTGAGGTTCTTAAACCCTAATTTTCTTCACAGTCCTATGACGACTTTTGCAAAGCCTTTCCTGTATCTGTTTTGCTCAGTTGAGCCTGGCCTCTGGATATGCTTATGTCCCAGTAGATATCTCATGAATAGCATTTTACCTACGGACATAAGCAGAATCTGTGAAATGCCTTCAAACCAACAAGTTAATCTTTTTTTATCTGAGCAGGGTGGTGATGCCCTTCTCTAGAGACTAATAAGATATGTGTGCTGTGGCACAGTTTCTCTCATGATCTTAGAAGAAAACTGCTAGAGCAGTATAACATAAAAGGCTCTCTTCCCAAGAAGTCAAGTAGAGGAGAAGTGTGTTAAAATAATTTTTCTCTAAGTCCATTAGATTTAAATGTACTCGGTAAGCTGAAGTCTGAATTTGAGCTTCTGTATGCCTGTGTTTGTAGACCTGACTTAGGAAAAATGCCATATATTGTTCTTGCTTTGATTTATTTTTTTTCTTTTCCCTCTGTCAGGGGGGGGAAAGATCAGCAAACCCATTGTACACAGTATACAGCCAGTGTGTAGCTGACTTGCATCTAGCACTCCTAGTAGTGCCAAAAGGGAATGTGGCTTCAGTGCCAGCATGTGGAGCTCCCAGCCACTGCCTGCACCAAGGTGTTGGGCTCCTTGCATGACCTTGGACTGCTCAGTTGTTAGGGAAAGCTCGTAAGATAAACTCCTGCCTTTTACTGTAGCTGAGTTCACAAGCACCAGCTTGTCAACTTGTGGCAGTGTGATCGCTCAAGAGCTCCTTTTTATAGGAGTATTTATTGGGATTTTCCACTAGTTTGCTTACAGCCACATGCCCAGCAATTCTATACCTTAAATCTTGGTTAGAATCACTTACCTGTTCAGTCGAACTGTCAGTAAAGTTAACAATAATAAGCTCTTGGTCATTTTCATATGAAGAAGCCTTTAAAAGATGTTTGTGTCAGAATTTTGATTTTTGTCTTGAAAACGAAACAAAGGGAATGAAAACATTTCCAAGTTGTGGTCAGACTCAGGGGTTGTGCAGCTTGGTCGAAGGTTGGAGTGAGGAGATGAGAGTTTACCTAAGCATCATCTTTAGTTAACTACAATGACCTATGCTTTAATGAAAGTTATGTGGTTTTTATTTTCCTAAATAGACCATAGTCCTCTGCTTTTTATCGGATGGTATTTTGAGTAATGTCTGGTCTCAGTGATACCTTTCCAAAGTGGGCTAGAGTTTCATAAGAGGAATGGTGGACTATTTGATACTAAAGCTCACCTGCTTTATTTCCATAGATTGATTAGAGACCTGTTATGAAACTGAGATTGTAGATGTTTATGTTCCCAGTTGTAATACATTCTGACTGATGTAGGTTGGAAACTTGTTCTGTGTGGGGTGGTGGTTGTGCTCTTAACTGCATTTATCCCTTTAGTATCTGGGAGTATTAAACTTTACACATTAGAGTGCCTTGTTTTGGTAGGATACTATACTGTGCCTAGGTGGGTTTTTTTAAAGCATATCATGGTAGTGAAAATAGGTCCAAGAAAAGTGCCCTGATTTTGGAGCAGAAGGTGGGGGGAGACTTGTATTGATCCTGGGCTCTGGAAGGGTGTTTGTTCCCAGCAATGAGACTGGTCCCTGTAAAGGTTGGCTCCCACACAAGTGAACTTTCTTGTCTTTGTACTGTTTTTCTATGCTACCAATTTGATGACAGCCCTTATCAGAGATGTTTATGCTTGTACTGGAACTGTCCCATTTCAGGATTCACAGCTGGTAATAGAAGCCTTTAAATCGGGGTTCGAGCCTCCGGGAGATGTCGACTTTGAGGACTTCACGCAGCCAATGAAGCGGACTGTCTCGGAATCCAGCCTTTCCAACTCCAGAGGGGATGGGAAGTCTGAGCTGAAGTTTGGTGGCAAATCCAAGGGCAAGTTATGGCCGTTCATCAAGAAAAATAAGGTACTGACTTGCAAACTTGAGCTTGGTGCTAGTATGTGTATAGTTAAGAACTTCTATCTTGTCTAGTAATCCTGGCAGTTACAATTTTTTAAAGAGAATTTTAGATTCAGAAAGTTAGTAACTGATGTCTTAATGTGGTGTTTTGTTGTAGTCTTTGGTTACTTAAGTTTCTTTATATCTTAATTTTTTTTCTTGTATAATTTCTTTAATTATGTTGCAGTTTTATATTAATTTAGCTTTAGTTGTCATGTCTTTGCCATGGTCCATTTCTGTTCCTAACTCAGAGAAGGAATTGTATGTAACTTACCTAGTGCCATGTGTGCTAACTAACATGATTACTTTGGGGACGCTTTAATGTGGCATTACTGTTTTGACACTTCTAAAACTCTCCTTGGCTTCTCATTTGCGTTATCTTTTCAGTCTGTGCACTGGGTTTAGCAG